CCTCCACTCTACTCTACTTTACTTTACTCTGCTTTACTCTACTCTACTTTACTCTCTCTTTCTCTCTTCTCCAACACCCTACTGTACTCTACTGTACTTTACTGTACTCTACTCTACTCTACTCCACTCTACTCTATGACACTTTACGACACTCTACTCTACGACTACTCTACTCTATGACACTCTACGACACTCTACTCTACGACTACTCTACTCTACTCTACTCTACGACACTATTGTACGACACTACTCTACGACATTGTACGACACTCTACTCTACGACACTCTACCCTACGACAATCTACTCTACGGCAATCTAATCTATTCTTCTTCAAGACTCTATGACACTCTACTCTACGACACTCTACTTTACGACACTCTACTGTACGTACTCTACAGTACTCTACCACACTCTACTGTACGTACTCTACCCAACTCTACAACACCGTATTGTACGTACTCTACCCTACTCTACGACACTGTACTCTACTCTATGACACTCTACGCTACGACACTCTACTCTACGATGCTCTATGACACTCTACTATATTCTACTCCACGACACTCTACTCTACGGTACTCTACTCTACAACACTTCATGACACTCTACGACACTCTACGACACTCCACTGTAGTCCACTCTACTCTACTGTACTCTACTCTTCTCTGCTCTACTCAACTGTACTCTACTCTACGACAATCTACTATACTATACTCTACAAGACTTAATGACAACTCTACGACACTCTACGACAGTCTACTCTACTCTATAACACTATCTGATATTCTACGAAACTCTACAAAACTCTACTTTACTCTTCTCTACGACACTCTACTCTACTATACTCTATGACACTTCACGACACTCTACTCCACTCTAGTACTATACTCCACTCTACTCCACTCCCTGTACTCTACTCTACTCCACTCTACTCTACGACACCCTACTCTACAACACTCTATTCTACGACACTTTACTTTACCCACTCTACTCTACCCACTCTACTCTACCCACTCTACTCTATTCTACTCTACTCTACTCCACTACACTCTACTAGTACACTCTACTACACTCTAAGACACTCTACTCTACT